CCCCCCGTCTCCCCAGCTCCCAGGGGCCGCTGGTCACATCGTGCATGCGGCCACCCGAGTGCGGTGGGAGGCCCCGTGAACTCTGGTACACGCTCTGCACAGCGTGCTGTCCCTCACTGTCTGTTTGATATTCTATGATATTTATTTTACGAAAGCACTAATCTGTAATAAAGTGAACAACTTGCTTTTTATGACGCACATGTGTGTTGATCTGGCTCACCTTCCTGCTCAGGTCCCAACACCAGCTCCCGGGGCTGACAGCCTTTCCCAGGGACCCGCTCTGTCCCCAGGCCGGCCCCTTCCTCCCGTCCAGGGAGGATGTCCCCACCAAACTCCGGGCCTTTCTCGATGCGGTTTGTCCACCTGTGCAAGCCACCCCCCAGGTCAGCCTCTGCAGGCCCCGGACTCGGCCAGGCCTGGGGCTGCCCATCTAGACACAACGTGTCCTCCCCAGCTCAGTGCTTGCGGCCAGAGCCCAGTGGAAGGCCCTGCAGCGCTGGGAACTCAGGCGGACACTGCAGGGCCTGGTGGACAGGCTCAGGCCAGGGCCCACCCTGGGCGCTTCTGCTAACCTCGCTGGGGATGGAGGGGGCCTGGCCAGCCCTGGGCCGGGAATGCCAGGAAGTGTGCCCAGCCCCAGCCCGCGAGGCCCCAGGTAGGTGGACTCAGGTCCTGGACTTGGAGCCACTCGGCTGCCGCCTGGACCTCGGACCCCAGCTGGTGTCCACCCTGCAAGCTGTTGGGCCCACCCAGCCCTCAGGGACGAGGAGAAAATCCACGACTCCTGAGGCTTTCACCCATCACAGCCTGCAGCTCACGGGGCTCAGACCTGAGCCCCCAAAAGAAAGGCACCTTTGAGGCCATTGGGAGTGCACCAGGGTGGAGAGGAGGTTCAGGGAGGGGCGGCTGCCTCTGGGCCCAGACAGGCTCCCAGGGGGCGGGACCGACGGCAGCCTCTCTGGGCGTCTTCACCTCTCCCCTCTCGGCCCACATGTCCCTCGGTGTGAGGGGCACCCAAGCCCCAATGGCCTCGAGTCAGGTGACCTCCCAGGACGCGTCTTCCCAGTGTGGGGGCCGGGGCTGAGCACCAGATGGAGGCCCGGCCAGTGAACAGGCAGGTCCCCTCCCCTCACAGGGACCTGGGGCAGGGGTGCCAGGAGGTGGGGGGCTCTGCTGCAGGTGATGGCGCCAGAGGGGACCCAGAAGCCACTGACCCTCCTGGGCTGGGCCTCAGGCCTCCCTACTGCACACTCGCAGCCCTCACGCCATCCAGGGCTCTGAGACTCCCACCCCGTTGCCAGCCCCTTCCTGATGCCCCCAGCACGGCTACTCGGGGGCCTGCAACCACCCTCGGGGCTGGTCCCTCTCCCACCCCCTCCTGGAGCCGAGTCGGGCTTTTCCCTTGGCAGCTGGGCCCACGTCCCCCCAGGTGGCCCTGCCCGAATGCCCAGGCTGCACCCAGCACAAGCCACACAGCTGCGGGCATCACCCGGGGTCCCTGTGCCCACCCCAGGGCTCGCCAGGGAGCCCTCCCCTCCCCTGACTTGCTGCCCAGCTGCAGGGACCTCGAGGCCCTGCCTCCTGCTCCAGGCGCCCAGCCAGTGGCATGTGCTGGGGGTGGGCTTCCCTGCGGTCCCGGGAGGGGTGGGAGCCACAGCAGGTGTTTCTAACGTGCAGTTGGGCAGCTGGGAGGGGCGACCAGGCCTGGAGCGCGAAGCCGCCCGCAGGAGCGAGACAACCAGCCTTGTGTTTGCAGAAAGCATCGTTTAATAGAAGGTTCCGGCACTGACCACGCAAACCTCAGTCACAGTCCCGAGGGAACCACAGGGGCACCCGGCAGGCGGCCCCACCCAGAGCCCCGCCCTCAAAGAGAAACCCTCTGATTCCAGCGACGTGGCCAGCAGCCCAGCGGCCAGCAGCCCAGCGGCCGGGTTGTGCTTCAGGTCAGGGCTAAAAGGGCGTCGAGCAGGCTGGGGAGCCTGTCCGCCCGGTGCCCGCAGATGCGGGGCTGCAGAGTCCCATGGGAAATGCCTTCTCCCCCGCCCCAAGTCTCGGCTGCGGGAGCCCCGTGTGTCCAGGGCCCCTCTGGGGGTCTCCTGGGGGCCCACCTCTCCCCCAACAGCTGTCCAGAGCCGCCCGCCCTTGGGCTCCTGGTGGAGCCGGGGGCCCCTGTGCTTCTGAGTTTCCTGTGGACGGGGCTGCCGGCTGCAGGTGCTGGAGCTCCATCCGTGACCCAGACCCTGCGACCTTGTGCCCGAGACCAGCCGGGCCCACAGTGGACATGAAAACGGGCTCAGTGGGCGGCGGCTCTCCCATCCTGTGTGCGTCGGGGCCAGGGACAGCGTCCGCAGCTCCGTCCCCGCTCCACGCCACCCGGTCACAGCTGTGTAGGTACGTTCGTGCGGACACGGACCGTGCAGCTTCGTAAAAACAGGTTAAAAAGGCTTCCGCCTGGTCTCCCTCACCCAGGGGAGGCCTCCTTAGTCACGTTTCTGGAGCAGCCTCGGGCGGGCGGGCCGGCCGGCGGGCAGTACTGGGCCAGAACATGCCGCTCATGCATCGCCCTGCGTGCCAGTGAGCAGGGCGGGCGCCGACTCAGAGCTGCGTCTCATCACGCGTCTTGGGGCTGCAGGAGGCCAGCCTGTTGCTGCAGCTGTTCTGGCGGCTCTGGGCGCTGCTGGGCACGTGGGCCAGGGGGTCGCAGCGGATGAGATACCTGCGGGCGGGGCGGGGGCCCTGGGTGTCAATGCCGCCCCCACACAAGGCAGCCAGCGTGTGGGCCGGATGCCCAGCGTGGAGGTGCCCACACGGCTCCGGGACTGGCACTTACACGATGTCGTTGGGCTCCAGCCTCGTGTCGGGCGGGGGGTTGATGAGGACGTAGGAGAGGGTGTTCTGCTGGTCGTTCATCTCGTCTGCAGAGGAGACAGGGCCCCAGCAGCGGTCACCCCTCTGCCCAGAGAAGCCAGGGCTCTGCCAGCCACAGAATCTTCCCAGCCTTTCTGGCCATCCTGCCCAAGCTCTCACCTGGCAACTCAGCCAGGACTGGTCCCCCCAGGGGCACCGTCCCCGAGCCCCCAGCCTGCACAGGGTTCCCCCCAGGGACACCATTCCCGGGCCCCCAGCCTGCACAGGGGTCCCCCCATGGACACCGTCCCCGGGCCCCAGCCCACACAGGGTTCCCCCCAGGGACACCATTCCCGGGCCCCCAGCTTGCACAGGGGTCCCCCCATGGACACCGTTCCCGGCCCCCAGCCCGCACAGGGGTCCCCCCATGGACACCGTTCCCGGGCCCCAGCCTGCACAGGGGTCCCCCCCGGGACACCATTCCCGGGCCCCCAGCCTGCACAGGTGTTGGCCCTGAGCGGCAGTGGCACTGGCTCCTGCCCACACCCAGGCAGCTTCTCAGCCAGAGCAGCCAGCATCTCATAGATGGGGCAGCCCCGACAGAGGCATCGAGCACCTGCACACACCGTGGACACCTACACATAACCACACGCACCACACACCTCTGTACACCTGCGCACACTCCTGACCCAGCCTTGGGCTTCTCCCGCCCCCAGAGCCCTGCTCTCTCTCCTGCTCTGAGCTCCTGTCCTGTTGCCCAACACCGGCTCCCGCGACCCCTTGGCACACACAGGGCCTGTGGGGGGACAGCCGGCGCCCCACTCCCTGGGTGTCTGTGGGATGCGGCCCGCAGGGGTGAGGACGGGTTCTGGAGAAACACCGTCACCTCACAGCGGTCTCCTGGCCAAACACGGGGACGGCCCCATCCAGGCAGAGGCCCGAGCGCCCTGCACGGCTTGTGGCCTGCGTTTGCCCACCTGGGGGTGTCTGAGGCACCTCCTGCCCCAGAGCAGCCGTCGGGACACAGGGATGGCCTCCCAGGGGTCCTGCCCTGGTGGCCTTGCCCCCGTGCCCCCGGCGGGAGTGTAAGGCCGGACCACTGACGAGGGCACGGGCTGCAGGTTTGAACTGGAGCCTGCAGAGCGAATCGGCCCCACAGCGCCCGAGCCCTAGC